TAGGCAGAAGGAACCACGAGTCAGTTCTGCATCTTCTCAAATATACTGTGGCTTTACAAAGCCAAGCCCAATTCTAAAGCAATATAGTTCTTGTGTTTCTGTGTTCTGCACAGAAGATGGCCTGTCATCTAAGCAATGTCTTTGATGCACATCTTAGCTAGCCTCTACTCTATCACTATTCTGAGTTTTCACACCCTCAAAGTGCCAGCGCTTCCTGATGGAGTGACTGCCCAATTTTATTAAATTTATTTCTGTTATAGGAAGCATTGATCTTTCATTATTTTGTGGACTTTCAAGATGACCCCAATCTATGTCTCTCTTTCTCCATCTCTCTTACACACACACACACACACACACACACACACACACACTCACACATTTTTAAAGGATTGAGTCTAAAGACAGGACAAATTCAAGGAAAGAATCATGACAGAAAAATGTTGAAGAGATAAATTGTACCAAAATTTGTTTGAAAACATAGCTGATCATTCTAAAAATGATTTATTTTTATTATGTGTCCATGTGACTATTGTTTCCTGTGGATGCCAGGAGAGGGCATCTTATCCCTTGGAACTGGGGTTCCTGAAGGCTACGAACCTCCCAAAGTGGATACTGAGAACCAAAGTCAGGTCCTTTGGAAGAGCAGGGCATGCTCTTGACCACTGAGCTGTATTTCTAGCATTGTGTGGCTGATAGCCACGGTGGAAAGTTGCCTTACTTAATGAAAATTCTGACATGAAAATTGTTATTGAAATACCGCATGTTAAAAATGACCATCTTTATTTCTACTTAAGTAAACAATGGATAAAAGTCACATGTCCCTCAAGAGTGGCTTAAAAACTTGGTAAAGAAGAGTCAAACAGAGCTACCCACAGGCAATAGGACACTGGATAAATTCAGTCTGAGCTGTCTGGAACGCTCACTGTAGCCTTCGCTTCATTATGAATTGAGTTCTGCTTGGATCCAGCAACAGAGCACATGAGCTAACCACATGGGACAGGGATGTGCAACAGGCAGAGGCAGAGACAGAGAGGCACCCTGATCTCTCCTGGCCTTTGTAAAACAGGAACGACACCAAGAGCTATAGAGTACTGAAACATTAGCTTGACCATTCTGCAGCTGGTTGAAAATTTATAACCTTATAAATGGTGGATACTGTCATCCTGAACCTGGGATGCCCTCTGGTTAGAACACAAAGGGGGCAGTGCTGGAAGGCAATGTGGAAATCTGTGGAAAAAGCAAGGATCTGTGTGGCTAATGGGAACTCACCCCAGCACCTCAGTGCACCCCTGTTACCCCAGTACTCAGAAGGTAGAAAGAGTTGGGTGGTTAAAATTCAAGGCCTTCCTCATCTGCCTGGCAAGCTCAAGGTTAACCCTATCACACAAAACAAAACACCCCAAACCCATGGACTGGAGAGGTGACTCAGTGGCTAAGAGGACCCAAATTTGGTTTCCAGCAACCACATGGGGGCTCACAACCATCTGTAACTCCAGTTTTAGGAGATCTGAAGCCTGTGACCAGCAAGGGCACTGAACACATGTATCATATGCATGCACAGACACAAGTAAACATTCACACACATCAAAAATAAATCTTTACTACTCCCACCAAACACAAAATAACAATTCTTCTTTTTGCACATGAATAATGCAAATGTAAATATTTTAATAAAGATATTTTGATTTTCATAATGTCAATGTGCTTATCTTCTGTTAGAACTCAGTTGGAGCATAAGCCATAAGACCCTGCCACCTGCTGGAGGGTAGAGGAACCTTTCGAAGGTTGAGGTTGCAAAAGGTGCAAGCTGAAAGCTGGCCCAGTTTAGATGTGACTTGGACAGCATTGGTAACTGTCTAAAGCATGAATTTCCCATCAGTGATCTTAGAAAAAAAAAAGGGGAGGTTTGGGAAGATGCCCCTCAGTGGACCCAGAGTGGGCTAAAGTGAAGGCAGGGTGGATGCTGGCTTCAGCATCCAGCAGAGGCTATGGATGAACAATCTGTCCATTCTGTGTGAATCCACAGGAGAAAACCAAACCAGCCTCACTAAAGATCGGATGTATACAGCTCTAATGCTTGTACTCTGCAAGCTTACATCAGACTTGTCTTTGAATTCCTCCAGAGGGGTGACATTAGGGACACAAGCTTGAAAGCCAGCCAGCTCTACACTGGGATTCCAGCTGTGTGGTGCTGGGCAGGTGACTCAACCTCTGATAAGAATGCCTAAAGCTTAATGCATAACACTTAAGGTGCAGGGGCCAAGATCCACAAACACAATAAGTACACGATGGTGATTATTACAATTATTTTTATATAATAAATACCCGAAGCAGAGTCTGGGGAGAGGCTTGTGCAAGTGCTTGCTTTGTAAGCCCGAGAACCTTAGCGGGATTCTTAGAACCCTGTAAAAAATAGCTGGGCACGGTGGTACAGGACTGCAGTACCAGTGTTGGGGCCGAGTGGGGACAGGCAGATCTCTAGGGTTCATTGCTGACTTGGTAAGACACTGAGAGACCCTGTCTCAAGAAAAAAAACCCAAGGTGAACAGTGGCTGAAACTGACTTCTGGCTTCCACATACATGCTCACACATGTGCACATGTACTCTCTCACATGCATGCACCACAACGTATACACAGGCATACACACACACACACACACACACACACACACACACACACACACACGAATGCCCACAGTTACTCACTGGTGTTGGGTTCACGTAGGAAGTGAATGATGGCAAGGCTGTCAGTGGCTAAGCCCAGAGCCCAGCCTTCTCCACCGCCCTCAGATTTGCCAGCTGCTTTACCTAACACTCAGGCAAAATTCTTGGAATCCATTTCTCCTGAGTCCTCCCAGATGCAGTAAAATCTTAATATGTCAGGTGTGTGTGAGCTGTGTGTTGAGCTTTATGAATTTATGTAAGGCAGAATGGAAAATCCAGCAAGTTCCACACACTCGTTGCTCCCCGGATGGGGGATGAGTCTCAAACCATCACTCTGTCCTTGAGGGCCACGGCCTCTGAGGATGTCCGTCTGCTTTAAGCTGGGTAGGACGATTCCCACTCCTTGAGCAGCATCTGAGGTTCTGCTGTGATATTCCTGCGAATGCTTTACTTTTTCTAGATTGAGGTTATTGTTTTAAATTATGTATTGTGTATGTGTGTCTCTGTGAGTATAGGTCATGTGAGCGCAGATACACACAGAAGCTTGAAGAGGAAGTTTGGTGCTCTGGAGTTATAGGCAGTTGTGAGCCGCCCGATGTACGTGCCGGGAACTGAATTCCAGTCCTCTGGAATAGGAGCGGGCATTCTTAGCCACAAAACCATCTCTCCACATCTCCCCCTCGCCATGGGTACTTCCTGTTTACTGTGTTCAGTCATGCTCAGTTTCTTTGGTTTAATACTCTGAATAAAACAATAGCTCCATTCCAACACATTTGTCCTTTATCTCCTTGCAGGCGCCTCTTTGTCTGAAGTCCAAATGAAGTTACTTCCACCATGTTTATTTTCTAAGGACATGCCCGCATTCTGCTTAAGCTTAGCAGAGAACAGACAGCAGTCTAAACATTCATGCTGTGGCTAAAGCTCTCTTCCAGCGCGATATGGTTTAGCAGCACCTGCCGCTGTTTATTGACGTTTGTCAGGGAAATGTTGTGTCTCAACCTCAGCATCTGTAGAAGCTGCAGGACGAGGCCGACAGCACAGTTCTCTCTTCCAGGGTAAGCCCTGAGTACCTATCCTTCTCAGAGCATCGTGGGGGGTGGGGGAGAGCACAGAACAGAATGTAGGAGACAATGGGAGCCCAGGACCAAGATGTCCAGAAACAAAAGATGGAGACTCAGGGATGGGAGTGGGCAGAGGGAGGAGCCGGTAGGGAAGAGACAGAGAGGGTAAATGTACAAACAACACAGTCACATCTATGGGCTTTCTAATGTCAGCACCACTGCTGGCTCTTAATCTGGGCCAACGGCTTCACCAAACCTGACTGGTGTCCTAATCTGTGGGACTCAATGGCTAGGTAATATAATTATATTGCCAATATATAATGAAATGTGCCTTCCTGGAGCTGAAAAAATCTGTCAGCACTCCTGCTCATGGTTTCCCTTTCCTGTGTGCCCTCGGACTCTTAGCTGCGTACTTTGTATTTTTTAAGACAGGGTCTCACGTAGCATAGGCTGACTGACTGCCAAACTCTACGTAGCTTAGGATGACCTTGAACTTCTGATCCTCTTGCCTCTTAAGTATTTGAAATGCATGTTTGTGTCACCATGCCAGATTTATACAGTGCCAGGGCCAAACCCAGAGCTTAATTCATGCTAGTAGAGTGCTCTGCCAGGCGAGCTATGTCCCTAGATCATGTACTTGGGGGAGCCCAGGTAGGCTTCGTAACACAAATCAAGGCCATAAAACAGCACGAGGCTGGGTGATCCAATCAAAAGCACCAAGAACTTGCTTCTGGGAACACAATCATGTCAGTGAAGAGCATGAACCACAAACACACACCGCACTTGAACTGCTGGGCAGAGCCAGTTCTTTCTCCCTATGACCAAGACCGACTCGTTTCTTAGGTTTCTTTCCCAAGGCACTTCTAGAGCTATGGCCAAAGTAGCCTATGCACCAACATGAAGCTTTGTTTCTGATGTCACGTGGGGAAGTAAGGGACTTCCTTCCTATTAGTGAGGATAGAGCCAAGAGTCTGCACAGGCAAGCTGGGTTCCATCTGGTGTGCGCACCCCGTGTGGAGACGTGGGTGATCTTGCTCCACAGATTCAGAGCAGGGAGCGGACATCACTGCTCTGGGGAGGAGATTTCCCAGAGGTGCCTGCAGCTGGACTAAGTAACTTCTGCTAACTCGGTCCTGTTATCGAAAGAAGAGCCACAGGGCTTTTCCAATCCTTGGTGCCCTGTTCCTGCCCTAAGGGCTGGGCAGAGTCTGGTGTCCTCTGTCTCACTTTGATCTGCAGATTTCCAAGGGAGAGAACAAGGAAGAACCATCTTACCCATGAGGAATTTTGCTCAGGACATAATATCCAGTGTGGGAGTGTTGATAAACCTGCAAGAGAGGAGAGAAAAAGCAAGCACTGAGACAAAGGCCGTGATTGCTGGCTTTCCAACCTATGAATCCTAACAAACACCAGAGGCCAAGGGCAGCTTATGCAGAGACCTGCAGGCAAAGCCTTACTGACAATTTGCATACCCTGTAAGCAGCACTTCCACCGTTCACCAGGCTTATCAGGAAGCCTGAGGCTTGATGTCATCTCCATGGTTACCTGGTTAGTGATTAAATTAGGAAGTCTGTATTTTCATTCAAACTAAATACAGCACAGAACTAATAGGGGCATGAGGTCACTGGAGCTCATTGGACATGGTCAGAAAGCCCTGGCAGGACAAAAGACCTCTGAAAATTTGAAGTTCCTGTAGAGTATGGCCAGGGCTCCCCTGGGGCCTCAACTTTGGGCCTGCAGTGAGCATGGAACTGGAGGCAAGACTGGGCACACTCTCCACCTTCGGTCCAATTTGATGGACATTTTCTGGCTTCTGAGAGTGGTCAAGCAGGGCTCACAGCAAGAGCAGAGTCAGAAACAGCTGCTGCTGAAAATAGGAAGAGGAGGAAGTCGGCACAGTTTCCAAACTTGTGGAGCCCCTAAATTACAGGGGTCTCTCTTCATCTTTTGAGACAGGAGACTATTTCCTAACCTGCAAACAGTGAAGAGAAATCAAGGGGATACCGCCTCATGGGAAATGGGGACACAGCAGCTCAGGAAATGTCAGCATGCCCCTCCAGCTCTGGACAGAGCCTCTTCTCCAGGGTAGAGTGAGATCCTACTTCACCCCCACTCGTGTACCCGAGGGACTTCTGAGGGCAGATGCCCTGTGTGGGGGGATGCCCAGCAGCTAGCACAGAATTCTAACTGTCCAAGGCTAATGCTAGGTTTTGAGCTGTGTGCTGATCAAGCCATGACCATCTGTAGCCGCCCTTTTCTGTTGGCTGCTGTAGATGAAATGGCAAGCCTACTGAGAGCTGGTCCAAGAATGAATGTCTATACGCTGATACCCTCCCCAGGTTCCTGAGTTCCAGAGAATGGTGGCCATCATTCTCACCCTGTCCCACACAGGGTGAAATAGAAAGTTTATAGACTTCAAGTGGTCAGACTCCAGGACATCAGAAGGTGTGGTGGCACATCCCTTGTTCATATAACCAATGCACCTTAACTAAATGTGCCCTTCCACCCTATCCTCAGGGTCACACATCCCTTCCCCAGAGTTCTCTCCACTCCTTCGGTCCAGGAGTCAGAAACAGCCTGGCTGTAGACCAGTGGTCAAACAAGAGGGGGAAAATGTCCCCTTTCCCTTGAGACCTATAAGAATGAACCTCAATCTGCCTGTTGGGGCTGAAACGACGGCATCAGAGTCGCTGCAATGCTGCTGTCTCTATCAGTAAGCGAATGCAATGTTATACTGTCCTCCCTTCCTCCCACAGCAGAAACCTTCCAGATAACAGATAAGAAGTGCAGATGAAGGAAGACAACAGAGGCAGTGAGCCTGCACGGGCTTGGGCTGTGCTGCTGCTGCTGCTGCTGCTGGAAAGGAGCCTCCCGAGGAAGACAGGGGGATTCGCTACTGCAGTCTGACCCGGTATGGACCACTGAACCAACTTCCAGGGCGGTACAGAGGACAAGGAATTACTCAGAAAAACGGATGCAGATATAAAAGCGAACAGTCAGTGCTTAAATGCCAGCCATATTATCCTTCTGGAGATCTTGAGATCCATGAACCAGGCACATGGGACCCAGGCTGGCCTTCTGGATGGCAGTGGGTAGGGAGATGCTGTTCTGTCTCAAGACATCTAGCATTACTCAGGTCTTTATCACAAGTCCAAGTTCATTGTTGTCAGTGGAAAGATCCAGGGTAGTAACAGATAAAGAAATATGCAAAATGCTTTTTGCATTAATTGTGCAAAGGACAATTGTTTCTTTCCTACCGAGGATCAACGGCAGAAACTCATCCCCTGGTTGACTCATCTTTACAGTCTGCCTTCAATATGCCACCAAACAGTACTGAAATTCTGCAAGCAATTCTGGAAGCAATGACAATGGAAAGACTGGTGAAAAACAAGCTGACAAGGACTTCGGAAAGAAGAAAGCGATAGAAGAAGTTTCAGTTTTCAGCTGCAGCCTGCACTAGTGAGGAAAATGACATATTGTTGGTAACTGACAGAAAATACCTGGAAAAGAGACCGATCAACTATTATGCCCCAGCAAAAGACATCTGGGTATGCCTTTTTCCTTTTCATTATCTCCACGGTTGGTCTCATCTCCTCGGGGACATTGCAACTCTAGGGACTGTGTCAGAGGTCTGAGGCGCTTCTGGAACCAGTGAAGTTAGTCACAGTATGATGAGGAAAAAGCGCAGAGGAGGGGTGGAGAGAAAGCCCTCCAGAGCTGTGTGTCCTGCCTTCTTCCCAAGCGGCTCACGTCCTTCTCCTGCCCTTGGCAGCCCATGATTGTCCTCACGCTGGCAGCTGCTTTCCTACTTCACTGCTTTTCTGCCGTGCTGCTCTGCCAGAACTTTCTGTTGATTCGCAGCTAATTTTCCCCGAGAACACAACACTGTCTTTCTTGCTGGCTGACTGTCTTTTTTTTTTTGTTTGCTTGTTTCCAGCATACCCCTTCCATAGCAAAGGCCATGTAGAGACACAAAGCAAAAGCAAACACAACTTTCTAGTACCCTGCAAGCCTTCAGGTCTTTAGAAACATCTTTCTGCATTCCTTACCTTGACCTTCATGACAACTTCTGTCTTAGTTACTTTTCCATGGCTGTTGCAAAACACCATGGCCAAGGCAAGGCATCTAAGAGAAAGTTTATCGGAGACTTAGAGCTTCAGGATTATGAGCATCATGGCAGGAACATGGCAGCAAGCAGGCAGATGTGGCCATCTGGTCCACAAGCCTGAGGCAGAGAGGTAAACCTGGGAATGGCATGGAGTTTTGAAACCTCAAAGCCCACCCCCCTCCCCAGTGACATACCTCCTTCTATATGGCCACACCTCCTAATATCTCCCAAATAGTTCCATCAACTAGGACCAACCATTCAAACCTATGAACCTATGGGGGCCACTCTGGCCATTTCTAGCCAAACCACCAAGGTTTGTCATAGGAGCAGTCTTTCCTGGCTTCACTTTTCAAGTGAAGAAACTGAGTATTGAAGCCACAAACGAAGTGATCCAAGGTAGCATAATGTAGGAGGAGAGCTCGAAGCTTCAAGTGCACACACACCCAAGGCTATTTCTATAACACCACCACGCTGGCTGGGGAGGCTCTCCCATTGGTCACGCTGTCTCTGCCAGCCTTATGAAAGACTCAAGTTCTCTGCATCTACCATTGGAGTCATTGGTGGCTCTACAGATCAGGGGACTATTGCTAGCTCCTTTCACCTACCTGGAAACTATCACTGAATCTATGGTAAAAATTATTCAGCATCATCGATTTTCCCCTTAAGCTGGAATCTGATTTAAAACATTTTCTGGTAAGACAGGCAAGTGAACACTGATGAATGCATTTGATGAACGTCCACCAGTAATCTGCTGTGTGTAGTGCACTGGAGAAAGGTGTGTGTCAATATCTGGACAAGGAAGTGACAGAATGGGTCACTTAATGAAGTGAGGAAGAGGAGACGAGACAGTACCGAGAACATGACACATGAGAACACGGTGAAGCAGGTGGGTTTTGCACAAGAGCTACACACTCTGGGAGGTCAGAAGACACCCTTGGTATCCTACTGCATGTCATGACCAAAATGGTTTTAGTTGTTCTTTCTCAGAGTTTACCCAGGAGCTGTACATCAAACTGTTTTCCCCCAATGGTGAAACCCATTTTCTGAGGCCCTTACACTGCCATATTCGAAAACTGTCGAAAACAGGTCATTAAGTGAAAGTAAGGTCATTAGGGCAGGTGCTCATCCCCTGTGACCGGGGTGCTTCTATCACAGAGGGGGTGTAGTGATGGCTCAGTGAGTAAAATACTTGCCATGAAAGCATAGGACCAGAGTTTGAATCTTTAGAACTTTTGTTAAGCTGAATATAGTAGCATACACCTGTAACTCCAGCACCCCTGTGTCGAGATAAGAGGCAGAGGCAGGAGAATTCCTAGAAGATTGCAGATGGGCTTTCCTGGCAAGGCAGCCATGAATAGTAAAAAGATCATGTGTCAAACAAGATGAAGGTAATGATTGGCACGCCAGATTGCCCTATGGCTTCCACATAGGTGCTGTGGTACATTTACCCACACACTTCTTTCTCTCTTACACACACACACACACACACACACACACACACACTCCCATGAACAGAGACAGGGGTGTAAACTGAGGAGGATGACATGAAGAATCACAGGAGTTCCTGAGAGGAAGAGCGAGGTCTCAATGGAACACAGAACAGCGGAATGCCAAGAGCCACCAGCCATCACCCACCACTAGCAGCTGGAAGGTACCAAAAGGCTGTCCTTTATGGGGCTCACAGTGCTATGACCCTACCCCCTGCAAACCACAGTGGCCTCATACATCCCTAGGACCAAGTGAGGTCATTGTCCACTGCTTGCTCATTACCACGGGTCACTACTCCCTCTTACACATAACTGGGCCTGGGTAAGTAGTGGATCAAACCTGGAGTCCACAGGCATAATGATGACATACACAATGGCTTAGTCACTAAAACCCAGTTCTACTCAAAAGAACCAGGTCACACTGGCCACTCTTGGAGGCCGAGGCCTTCTGATAGTTGGGGATCTGCTGGTGTCCATGCCAGCCTCCTTCCTTTCAACCCACAACCTCGTGGGGTTGTGCTTCACAGTCTCTTGAATTTTCTCCAGAATCTGAAATTCTTACAATGTGACAGCAAAAGGACTTTTAGAATTTCCTTTAAATCAGCTTTCTAGACAGCAGAGTGTTGCTTGCAGCAGACAATGCACTCCACCCTTCATGCTGGCAGGTGCCACATCCAAAGATCAACCAACTACAGAGAGAAAACATTTGACAATAATTTGTGCATATGCTTAA